ATCCAGTCAACTTTTGAATTAAGCAGTTGGGCTTGTTTTAAACAGATGTCTCATCCACATAATAAGCCGCTGATTCACACGAGATTTGATGACTCAATAAGCATGCTCCCGATTTCAAAAATAATTCATCGTAATAATTCATCCGATAGGCCCAAATGCATCCGTCATATGGCCTCTCTTTTACCAGGGCTTCAGAGCGGGCGATGACTTTCCAGATAACGCAAACTTTTCATGGATAATCATGGTTTCTGAATGAATCAGCGGCTGATTCAAAAAAAGGATCATGCATCAAATTCCTCAGTGCTTCAAGCCAACCAATGAAATCAAGGCATTATGCGCAATAGCATGAAGATGCTAACAAATGAAGTATCTTTATGCACGCATTAAGGTCACTATAAAAACAAAAGTCTTTCTGTGATTTGTTTACTTGGCACCACTGAAACATTCACCAAACTTTGACTTTCATTACCGGCTTCTTATCATTTTCACCCTGACTACAATTGACAACATACGATGCCAAATATTACAGCGTGCTCAGCTTAACTTTATCTTGAAGGTTAGGGTGGTGTAACAGCGCTAGAACTGCCAGTTAACTAACACAAAGTCAATGAACTAATGCGTTTCTCTATCTTATTTAGCGTTTTCCCAGCTTGTAGTAGTTTTGCAAGCTTCACCGGGGGACGATGCCTAGTATCCTTCCAACAGGCTTATAGTCAGTAAAAAAGGGAAAGTGACTGACCATTCATTAGGCGTCCCTACCTTCTGATGCATACTTCCTAATGTACATAATGACTGTCTTATTTCCTCAACCCAAATGAATGGAAACTTCATTAAACTGACTGAAGTTTACGATACCGTATCAATGGATCCCGTGGGATTTACTGTCCATCAGTATTGAAAGTTTTTTTTACTTAAACCTTCAACAGCCAAACGATGGAGGTTCAAATCTAACACTATTTACCACTGATGGTGATGATGATGATGATGGTGATGGATGACGAAAGTTTTCGGGTGGGCTTCCTACACTTGTTAGAAAATTTCCAAGAACCATGGTATTTTCCCCCACAATTGAAAGGATATGCTGAAAAACAGATGCGCTTGATTTTACTTCTGCTCTTTAACTTGACACGTTTTACTGGTCATGGCTTTGGGAAAATCTCTTTTATTTGCTGTAGCATATATTTATCTTTATCAAGCAAATAAATATTGCTTGCAAAAAAGTTAAGTCTAATAGAAGTTTGGGTGCAGGACTACTTCAAACATCAAGAGTGAGTTTGAAGTAATATACTTGAAAGGTGTTCACAAAATGGATGATTCTGAGCAAACGCATAATTCAGCACATCTCAATTAATAGCGTGTCTTCAATCCACCAAGTACTTCTCACTATTAGTCAGCACTTGAAAAGATTACACTTTTGATATTCCAAACACAAAACATAACTTCTACTAGTCAAATGAGTCCGGCACACCGGACTGTTGTGCTTAGTTTTCCCTGTATGGAATAGCATATCTATCACATCATTCAAATTAACGACATTTGGCCTAGACTCCGTTTTTACCCTTAGCCATACAACTTTCAGACAATGCTTCTTACAGAAAAACTAATCCAAATATGATGAGTACAGTCTCAGGGTGCACTGAAATTTTGGTTGGCTCCAAGCAAATGTGGCCCATGTTTTCCTGAACTGTGTACAAGCCATTTTGTTTAATGAACACAGTTAAACAACCGAATCGGCAACTTTAAATTCAGCCCAAGGCTTCCTACAGGAATTCCACGACAGAAGTAATTTCTTATTTGAAACTGTCGAATGGTTTCACGCTGGAAATCATATGTAGAGTGCAATCTTTCATTTTCCATCGAGCGCTTCACATAATGGATTCTTGCAGGAACTCGTGGAATTTCAGTCTGCAATACACTACACACCAGAACTCTTCATTTACGGCCCACCCCCATCACCGTTGACTATCACACATTTTAGCTTCGATTTTCCATCATGACATTCCAAAACATATTTACCCCTTCATGTTAACAACAGTAAGGAGAGCTTTTCATCCACCGGAAGCTACACCGTTTCCTTTTTAGAACTAAAAAATGTTTTGCCGGTTACTTTTTTCATTTGCGGATACTTATCGGGCTACACCACCATGTAGAGCACCAACTCCCTGAAACGACCATTTTTCTCTGGCCTTCAATGGTAGTTGAGGCGATTCCACTATCGCTTTCCCCAAACCGTACTGAATTCATTATTAGCCGGAAAATTCAATTGAGCCGCCAATACTTGTGTTCACGAAAATGGAGCTTTCGCAATCACATAGTCGTGTTTATTGTTATTTATCACATAAAAGAACCACACAGTCAAGTTTTACAAACTTTAAACCTGGAAACACTTAATTCACACCTCACAAGTAAGGTTTTCCATAGATTCCAAGCAGGGATTGCGTGGACGAAAACGTTTGCTCGATTCGCGGCATTTATCATTTGACCGTCTATTATTTTACTAAATTAGTAGTTACCACAGCCTCTGCATACTATCCTTACCCAGTTGCAATGGAGATAAAACAAAGTGTAGTTGAGAAATACACTAATTTGCAAATCAATTTGGTTTTCACGAGAGACTCAACTGAATCTCTCTTTTATGATATTCTACAACTGAATGTGCTGCACACAGGCCGCCTCACGATTCAGTTGGCACGATATTCGAGATATCGCAGTATATTTTCATGAAGGAAACTACTCACAAGGTTGGTTGAAACTCTTCGACTGCCTACTACCGGTTTCACCCTTCTTGGAGCTGGGTTGACGGAAACTCGGGGACTGTGCCTACCTAATGAGACTCAAGAAGGGCAAAACCGGTCATGGGCGGTCGAAGAGTATTCGGCAACCTTGTGAGTAGTTTCTTTTATGAAAAAAGTGTATTTGAGTTTTCAAATCAAAGTTTGTTAGAGCAGTGGTACTCTCAGACGTTGGATAGGTGCACGAGCATGTTCGAATGCTTGCCTTGGTTAAAAGTTTCCATCTTGAGGCTGCAAGCAATCAAAATTGTCTAACGGTTTATCAGTTTCCAATCAAATCCACAAGAGTTTAGAGCATACGAGAGTCTTTTGCTTTCTGCTTGTACGGAAGTTAGTAGGTTATACAGCTGGACATGCTGACACCGTTTGTTTAGTATTTGGGGAACCAATTATGAAAATGTCGTGTCTGGAACTCATCACATGGACGCTCACTGCGGATTCCACTCGATCAGTTTTACGCCACTTTATTGAGTCAAATGTTTCTTCATGAGGCGCCCCTTGCTTTGTCATCCGTTTCACTTTTGTTCCCATGGTTGGTTGAACTCTTCGACTGCCTACTACCGGTTTCACCCTTCTTGGAGCTGGGTTGACGGAAACTCGGGGACTGTGCCTACCTAATGAGACTCAAGAAGGGCAAAACCGGTCATGGGCGGTCGAAGAGTATTCGGCAACCTTGTGAGTAGTTTCTTTTATGAAAAAAGTGTATTTGAGTTTTCAAATCAAAGTTTGTTAGAGCAGTGGTACTCTCAGACGTTGGATAGGTGCACGAGCATGTTCGAATGCTTGCCTTGGTTAAAAGTTTCCATCTTGAGGCTGCAAGCAATCAAAATTGTCTAACGGTTTATCAGTTTCCAATCAAATCCACAAGAGTTTAGAGCATACGAGAGTCTTTTGCTTTCTGCTTGTACGGAAGTTAGTAGGTTATACAGCTGGACATGCTGACACCGTTTGTTTAGTATTTGGGGAACCAATTATGAAAATGTCGTGTCTGGAACTCATCACATGGACGCTCACTGCGGATTCCACTCGATCAGTTTTACGCCACTTTATTGAGTCAAATGTTTCTTCATGAGGCGCCCCTTGCTTTGTCATCCGTTTCACTTTTGTTCCCATGCTCCAGTTAAACAGGTGCATGCTGAAGCACAGTGTTCTATGCACATTTTTCAAACTCCGGAAAATTTTCACAACATAAACTCATCAAAGGTTTATTACCAATTTCGAGTTGTATCTTAGTGAACCGTGGGATAAACATGTCAAAAAATGAGAGTACAGGCAGAGTACGATTGCGTCACAAATTAATAATAAAGTGCCTCGAGATCATCCATTGTCCACATAATTCGTGACCCCCTGAATACATTGGAATTGAACCTTGTGACACAAACTTCCTGACAAGAACTACCTGTTCCCCTATATAAAAGTTTGTGAGGTTAACAAAAACAAAACTTGGCTCCTACTCTTAACTTAGAAGTTAAACAAGCGCTCTTGTCGAACTAGAAAAGTGTTAGTTGATGGAACTTCTCGTTGTTCTGTTTTTCGGGGAAGGTTACTAAGAGCGACACCATTCATACGGTTTTAGACCCCAATTTGTTCAGTTTCACGCCTTCCGTTTCTAATGAACTTGAAAATCTGAACTTAAGTGGTACGTTGGAGCAAGCAAAAACGTTCACCAATATAATAAACGCCGGATTCTTCTAATAGTTGATTCAAACTTTAAGTGACCCAAGAAAGCCGATATATGAATAAGACCCATAACAATACTTCAGAAATGGAGAACTAACTAAAACCAATGTACCGGCTGAAAAACATCCACAACCAAGATTCAAAAGCTGCGGTTTATCGTGCCTCCAATGATCTAGAAGACTTCTGTCTTAGCCTTTCCAACTTCTGGATTGACAAAGACAAGAATTCGGAATTTATTCTGTCAGTACACATGTAGACAACTTAGGACAAGGCATGGCGATTCCACAAACAGGGCCTGTTAACACGATGGATAAGGGAGAAGAATAATGTATGTCTCAAAAGGCTTCCTGTTTCCTTACAAGAATTCTCCAGAAAAACAAAGTTGCACAAGTAATGGGGGCGCTGGTTAGTGAGAAGCAAAAGTTCGAAGCGCCAGTGAGGTCAGCCCAGAAATGATCGATGATATTCATCCAGAAGATCTTTTCACCAGCTAAAAGCTGCATTCTGTCCTAACACATTTTCTCATAGGTATTGGTATTTCAGCGGGATTTTTTCTAAAATCACGACGCACAAGCAATGGGAAAGTGAGTTGTACTCTGTATTTGGATCGAATTCGGGAGTTCGAAGTTCATTTGAAGAGAAAGACTTGAATAAGTCGAATCCCATAACAGGTGCATAGGTCCTTTGTTCAAAAATTTGAGGTATTTGGAACTAGGAAAACAAGTTCGTCTTTTAAAGGTGTGGGCTTCCAGAAATAAGAAAACTACCGGTTATCGTAACTGCGAGTAGAAATTAAAAGGGTCTGCTTGAAAAGAAAGGCTGAATGCAGCCCCAAATGGTGTAACCTCAGTGAGAAGATTTAATTTTCGTATGTTTTTGTTACTGAATCATTTGTGCACTACCGGAAAATCCTATCTTTCTTTAAATGTGTCACGAACTCTGATTTTCACAACGGTGACACCACACAGGCTAACTCAAGCTGCTGTAATAGTATCACTGTGGTACGAGTCATTTCTCGCAACTCTGGTGCGGATTGTATGCCAGAGTGTTGATTGATTTCGCTGGGCATTTTTCCCAAACAAAGCTACCTCATTATTCTTTCACGCTCAAATACCCACAACTAAGATGAAAGTAAACACACGCAACACACCCAGCGCGCGTCTACCCCACCGGAGGGTGAGCAAAGTCATGGAAGATCATTACGCTTATTGTTGGCAAGATGAATTTTCATGGCTCGGTGGCCATACGGCGCTTGTTGATAAAACCAAATTGATATTGAGAATAAAAACAAATTCGATTGTGATATAATTGGTTGATTTCGATTTTTTTTTCTGTGGAAATGAATAACAACTTTTAAATGTCTGACAATTATTCTGTCAAATTTCCTTAGAAAGAAGTTTGCTCACATCACTCTGATTACAATGAACAGCAATGCAATGTAGTTTTTTTTTACTCCGGCCCGTAAAATGTCAATTATTGCATCCTCAAGTTACTCACAAGACCAACTTCCAAGACAAGTATGGCAGTATGCCGAAACAACCGGCTGAAGCAACCATGCATTAAACAGTTTCTTACGATACGGTTTGTTTTTTGAACCCAACAGCTTACACAAATTGCATTACCACAAGACTGGTGATTGTGACAAGTGAGCCCCGATCAATTAGCTCTCGGCGTAAAACTTGTGGCTCGTCAGAACCTGGCGTTTACGAGAAAACCTTGTTAGAACATCAGATCACCTACTAACCTATATCATAGTTTGTATTCCGTAGTGCTCAGAACCTGGAGGGAGACCTTTCCATAAAAGCAGCCGATGAGGGACTGACTAAAAATAGATCCACTATTTCAATTGTTTTGCACTCGATTTGAGGGATATGTTTATATTGGAAGACTGTTAATTCTGGTGTATTTATTGGTAGTTGACCTGATAACAGAACTTGACATGCTTTGTAGACGTTTCATGACCTTTGAGGAGGCACCGTCAAATCACTCAAACTTACCTTTACATTAGCTTTTTGTATGGTGACGAAACGCTAGCAAGTCATTTCTATGCTTCGTGAAAAATCAAAAACCACCTGATACACCAATATCCAGTGTGCTATTTTTGCCTACACAATATTGCGATTGCTCCAGAAACTAAAAAACTTGACAAAAGTATCTTATCCGTAGGATGCTTTTATATACGGGAAATGCCGCACAAAGTTACGCATTGACAGAATCTATATCAAGTACGTTAGCTCAAATTGCTCCTAAATAAACCAAGATTTAGTTCTATAAGTTGAGCCAAAAATCCGAGAGGCACTAAGCAGCCATTTCATCTTCATTCTTATGTGTGCATCGCAGAAATTTCTAAGAATATCGGAAATCACGTCCACCCGTAACCGTTTGGCCAAAAATAACTGATAAGCAGTGTGATCAACTCATACAACAACGCCAATTATCCTTGAACTACGGAACCCACATCACGTGGTCACCTGTTGACTGGATCCTCGAGTGACGATTTACCAGACGTAAATTTCACTCATAATGTGAATTAATCTTCTGATTTACTTGTGAATTCGTAGGGAAGATTTTCGATATTCAGTAGAGATTTCATTCCTTAATCGGGTTAGCCGATGTGTTCGGGATCGTCATGAGTGCACAATCGATTTTCTTCAGGTATGCTTGAAATTGCCAGGATGAATTTTCCTTTGAAGTTTCAAAATCTCCTCATGGAACCCGAGGACTTTTATTTCAGCCAAGGGAAAAAGTTTATCACGATGACCTCACATCGTCAGTTGGAACTATCTCCGGAGGTTCAAAAATATCGAAAGTTTGGTTGGACATGCCTGATCATGATGAGCTGACAGTATGATTTATTAGATTGCACCTGAACAGGTGTCACAATATACTGTTGTTTGATAGGTGAATTACCTCAATACATCGGTCACTCTCATACAGTCACAAACTTCCTGGTCATAATACGATTTCAAGCACCAGAGGATCTATCCAAGTTATTCCGTCTGCTTCAGAAGCACACATTTTTACTTGTTTTGTGCTCGACTGGCTACTATAAATAGTCGTCTTACTGCGTCGAGGAATTCACCAATTTTTTCTTGCAAACTAAACCCAACATATCTAAAATTAAAGCTCCGTTCAACGCTAGCAAAAGGCTAATTATCAATCGTCATTAAAAGACTAGAGTTGGGTTTTAGGGAGTAGTATATCAACTCAGACGACAGCTCTTAGAGGAAATATGGACTTACGCGGGTTCAAGAGAACGCACGGTTCAGTGTCTTGACAGAGGTATTTCCCCATAACTCCCACCGCAACCTCGATCCCGAAGGATAGCGAACCATCAGTACCCTAGGCTCGCGATTTGCAGGGCGATAAAATTAGGACACTAATTTTACCGCACAGGGCGAATCCTCAAATCAAACCGAATAAACACCGTAATCCTGTCTCAGATAAACTATTAAGCCTAATAGTAACTACCAACTGGGTGACACAACTGAGTCAAGTCGCACATTTTTGAGAACAAGAAGACTATGAATTCATCTATAGGTACTCGGACAACTTTTTCACCACCTATTGGAATACAACTGAGTCGGGGAGTTTGATTGTCGGATGGCAACGGTCTTATCGTTGGCACACACCTAGTAGTGAAGCGTAAAAAATGAAGGATGAAATAATCCTACTGTAGAGCGATTCTTCCTTTTGATTCTCAGTATTAGTAGTCAGCAAACCATACCCGGAAACTATTTAGTTTCAACCGAATCTGGAGATATGTCACGCAAACCCTAACTGGAGGTCAAGAGGCTCTAACTATTTTTACCAGAAGTGGACCGATTTTAAGCAGCAAACATGTACTACAATGTAAACGGTATACTGTTGACTTTCAACTTGGTTCAGATTTTGGTTGTATAGGAGGCAAAACGTGAACTAGTTTCCCTTTGCTGGAAATAGATGAAGAGAGGTGAAGAAATGTTTTTAAGTAACTGAATGTGCTGCACATTGCCGCCTTATGTTTCATTTGTTACGATATTCGAGAAAACATAATACGTATGTGGACGCAATACACTACTCATAAGGTTGTTAAAAACTGTTTTACAACTCTAGATCGCTCTCGCTCTTCATGGAGCTCATCAGGTGAGCCTCCCTCCAGGACAATATTGGTACGCAAATGAGTGTAATTCTCTAATTTCGTACGATTTCGGTTCACATGCGACATAAGGTTGAGGGGAACTCGGAGACTGTGCCTAACTGATGAGCTACAATTAGGGCGGGACCATTTGTGGGTTGTCGAAAAGTTTCCAGCGTTTTTATGGGTAGTGTGTTATCTTTTCAATCTGTTATTGCTAGTGAATTTTGGCAAAGCACATCAAAACACCAAAACAGTTCTTACTGACAGTAATCTTTCACACTTCCTGGAAAATTACTAAACGTGGCCTTATTTCAGAGATGCGCTGCAGCAAAACTGTTTGAGGAATCACCCCGTGACACTTGCTTTCTTCTTTTTAGTGCAGTTTCATGAAGTGCATGTAGCAGTGCTCCGCAGGTAAGGTGAAATAAAATTGTTCCGAACATACAAGCAAAATATGCACTGCTTAACGAATTCATAGTATGCGAACTGATACACCTAAACACCATAGCAAAACGTCAATAATCGCCTCGTAATCTACTCTCCGTTCTAAATTATTGCCGGCCTAAGTTTCCTTGAGACAAAATAAGTCAAGCACTTCAAGCCTACACTTGCACTAGGAAACTCCTGAATAGAACATAGATTTTGCCAAGTTCATTATACTGTAGCGCTATTTTGCTCATTCGAAATAACCTGAAGTCCATTTCCCTCTTCTTTATTTTTGCATGTTTTGTGGCGATCAAAAGTATTGCACGGTTTGAGTCACAAGCATTTGCCTCCCATATCGGATATTAAACAGAAGCGTACCGCAACTTTCTTGCTTTGGCCTCAGGTAATGAAACGTTGGGAACAATTTATACTTGTGAGAACGGTTCACTAATCAGGAAATATTGCTACTGAATCTTCATAAAACTCACCAAGTACACATCCCATGAACAGAAATGCGACGAGGCATGCAGTTTCCATTGAGCACGCGTATGGAGTGAATATTGTTTCGACCGATTTGCTTCACCTGATTCACACCGCAACCTGCTTTTTCTGTCAAATGGGCTAAAACCTCATTGGCTGCGTGTACGTTCACTCGTCTCTTGACATAACAACGACCAATCGAAAACATGCTGTCCATATTTTTGTGTGCTTTTCGTGTCTTCAATGAGGGGAATGTGGAGGTGCAAGTCCAGTTTGGACTATTATTGCTCAGCAGTATGGTTGAATTGTAAACTCTACTCTCCAAACACATGGATATAGCGTACTTTGGGTCAAGTCCTTGGTGATAAGGCTATATTCCATCTGAAAACAATGTTCCTCTGATTTTCTTCTCTTGTTAGCGAAATACACTCATTTGCGAACTAATTTGGCTTTGCGAGAGACTCACCTGGAACCCAGCTAGTATCTCTCGTTTGTGATGTTTCCAGGCCACTAAATGTGCTGCACCAGGCCGCCTCATTTTTCAATCGCGACAAGTCAGTCAGCAACCATATTGGTAGTGAATTACGAATATTCATCTCTTCTTATTCTAGTTACATAACAAAAGTTTTCAAAATTCGGACACTAGTCAGCCAAGGGGCGCCCGTACCACAGAAAAATTATCTGAAACCGTCACTCATTTTGACGTAGGTGGATAGCCTAAAATAACAATTCTGTATGCTGTCAAAACATGATCTTTCTAAGTTATGGACACATTTTATGAAATTCGTCAAAGACGATCAGTATACAAAAATACTGCCTCGTCAATCCTTGCCAGCCAAAAAGTAGGATAAAAATGACTATTCGTAGGACGGAAGGGAGAATTTAGTTTGACACAGTGTCTTGCTACCTTATACCGAACACAATAAGCAACCTAACCGAATTCTCGGTATGCTTAAGGCCTCACTAATACCTTTATATCGTAATAATTTAGTCCTTATCTCATCAGGGCTAATTGGTGCCACAGGAACTTCGGATCTTATCAGTATGTTTGCAATTAACTCACTGGGCCCATCCTGAGGGTGCCGCAAAATATAGTTGTTTTGTGTTATCTATCTGAATATAAATAAGAGAACATCAAATTTTATCATGTCCTCATCTTCCCCTTCGGAATTTTCAAGCCTCTGTTTTCAAACAAGCATTCCATTCTCTTCAAATTTATTCTAAAAATTGTTTCCAGTCGTCTTATTTATTAAGAAGGTAGAATAATCAGCAGTTAGGAATGAAGACCGTTTGTCGACGTTTCGAATTCCAGTATCTTTCCAACCAGGGTAAATTGCATGAGCGTGCGGTTATGAATAGTCTGCTCTCATAGATGTGAAACTGTCCTATTGTTTCAGTAAAAAGCTTTGATTGGTCCCACACGCGTTTTGGCTGATTTGCAATGCAGTTCTCAAGTTCTGGAACGCGCAACGTGCCAACTTTACTCCACCTGTGCACACTATTCCACGTTTTAAGTTTCGTCTTTACGAACACGTTAGCAACATTTAAACATCCAGAGTGCTACAACTGCGGCTCTCTCTTCCCGCAGATAAAGCTCAGGTCTAATCTAAAATAGAGAGTGGTTGGTAAGTGGCAGGCTTTAATAAAACACGACTTTTCGATCAGTAGGCCGAAGCAGTGAGCTGACATTTGGTGGTAAGAAAAAGCCGCCACCGCCTTAATGATAGTCAACCCCTTTCCTTACCGCACTTTAGATGAGGTTTAAGAGCTTTCAACCAATTGCATCGTTTTTTTCTAGCCATTCACTGAAACCCAGACGTACAATAGAAAGGGTTTTCGAAAACTGTTTATGAGGTCGAAGAGTTTACTGAACAGAATACCGCGCGCCTCGTTCCCCTTGGATATACATACCGGGTTTCAAGCATAAATTTTTCACTTCAACATAAAACTAAAAATGTTTTAAGTGAGTTTTACCTGCTGGACCTTAAAAAGCGCGAAATCGACGGCGGGATGCCAAAAGTTTTAGAAGAAAAGACAATTAGTCTTAAACGTTCTTCTACATTCCTATTAACGTTGCCAAGAGGAGTATTAAGATTATGTACACATAGCGACGTTCCTCCTTCATTTTCCGTAGGAATGCAATGATAAATATGGTTCGTTTTCAGGTTATCTAACACCTGATAAGACATTGCATGATCTTTGCAATCTTATTAATAACGATGACTCCCCATGACAGGATTCCGTAGAGACACGCGACCTTTTAAATTCTGCAGATGCACCAAACAGATTTGGAACTAAACCAATTCTGTGCACGTAATGAACTTATCCATATGTTTTCACCGCCAATCCCTGTTATGAGGTGTATCTTTAGTAGTTCAGATAGAATGCCTTTGAGTGGTACGTGAGCTTCTTGGCATTTCAAAGTGATCATCCAGCCACTGAGTCATTTTAAATAAGACAAGACCTTCTGTATCTTGATGTGAAGTTTCCTGAGACAGAAAGAACCAATAAATCGACTGAGACATACATACTCGTCTGACCGTACTTGCTTGAGCGGTCGACAAGTGGCCAGGCAACGAGAAAATGCAACAGGTGAAAAGTAAGATAGGAAAACACGTAAAATTGACTAGCCCTGTGAATCGATTTGACTTGTTACCCAAGTTATCCTCCTATCATCTGATAGTTGGTTGTGCCTACTGCAATATCTGAGCACAAACCTGAGAGTTTTTAGACTGCAAGTGACGATGATTTATATGACCTCGAGCATAATCGTCCAACACCACCAGATAAATGATGGAATACATAAAAGCCGTACTTCTCCTTGCAGTATTATTATTGATCTTTTATCAATTCGTTCATCGGTAATGACGTGCTAAACGAGGGAAACTTTCAACTACATACTATGCATTATCTATTCGGGTACGATAGTCACAACCACGTCTGCCAGGTACGCTCGGCGAAATTTCCTCATTGGCAGTACTTAACTGTGCTCGCTGCGAAGTATGTAGGTTTGTGAAGGTGCTTCAACAAGTTGAATTCTCTTTGCCAACTACTGTTGTACCAGGATTTTTTCTAATCGATCGGACTTCAGCATTGCAACGTCACAGTAGTGAGCAAAAGTATTTACTCTTATTTGTACATTAGTTGGAGGTAGCTGCGAAATTTGTAGTATTCACGTTCATATAACTGACTTTTGGCAAACCCTTCCCCAATCCTGAGGCGTTTATTCTGGTGGGTATTCATCAAATGGGGTAAGCGATGGGTGAGATTTTCGCTCTTATTAGAGCTCCTCAGCAGTGCTTATCCCTGACCGTGCAGAAGATTGAATTCCGGACGTATGACTAGTGAGTCGAACGTGTTAGCTTTACTCAACAAGCGTACGCTGACGCATATGAATTAACACTTCTGAACATTAAACGTGTTCACGATTGAACGCTGAACCTTCATCAGACTTCCAGTGAACATACAACATACCACTCACATCAATCAAGAGCATGTTTGACTGTTCAGACATGAAAATTTAGATGGAGCAGTGGTAAGACGGTCCCCTTGCATATCAGATGTCCATAGTTCAAAGCTCGGTACTGCCAAGGTTATCCACTGGTAAGACCAAAACTCGAGTCCCATGCTTCGTCCCTCGCGGTATGGACCGACCAGAATAATTGCACAAGGACAGGAGGGCGACTATTCAAACGACAGTGATGTGAGCGTGTATTTTACATCAAGCTGCCCAATTCTTCCACAACTTTCCCATCGTGCAGAGACACTACCGTAGTCTGCAATTTGGTGGCTGCTTTGTTTCGTTATGCCACCTCTGAGTTATATTTTATTAAATATGAGGGGTGCGTGGTTCTTTTCGACGTTTCGAATTCATTTCGGCTAAAAATAATTCTAATCTTTCTCACAGCTGAGTAATACTTTGATCTTCAGTGACGGAACTTAATTGTAGCCAGCAATATTATTTGCCGAAAACGAATGGGGAAGATTAGGTCTTTTGTTACAACAGATATTTCCATTGCCTAAAGTCAAGTCTCACAGTGATGTTTTCTGGGTTATCTCTGTTATCCCCGTCCAAGGTGCCACAAAAACATAAGTTTGGACATTTTCTACTCTTCTGCTTTTTCCAGAAAGGGCGTCTCATTGGTATGTAGCTGCCTTTCGTTTCCACTAAGAATATGAAATCCCTGAAAGCTTCCCTTTTTGTGTTCACTCCATCTCATTAGGTAATCTTGAAAACCCTGTATTAGTATAGGTCGGGAGATGCTCAGTTTATCTGATTTGTTGCACGGAAGCTTTTTATTCTCTGCAAAATATTTGGTATAACAGTTTTACCATACAATTACACGGTTGATTTATACTAAGCACATATCTTTTTTGCTCCCGTCCACTGATCTATGCGCACAGCCGGTCCGTGTCATCTAAAGCTCATCCTAAATGAAGGTTCAGAAGCATTCGTTTGATGAGACATAATCAACGATGTTAGTGGAAAAACAGATGTATCGGAACCGACAATGTCCAACACTTCTGTGATCAATCAAGAATCTATGATTTAGCAGTTTGTCCGGGTATACCACTGAAAGCAATCTTCAGATTCGACTAGTAATCATCTAATTGGATTACGTTTTCTCTGTGTTTATCGCGGTTGCTTCTACCCCAAAGTGACATTCTCAGAAATGAGAATTGACAGTGACAAATGTTTCCCGCGTGAGAGACCGATGCATCGGTTGATTTGGGGGTATTTTTAGTTGTAAACTCACTTATTTGTGAGTTATAGCCAAATGGACATTTCCCTAAGTCACTTTCCGTAGAAGTTCTATGACTGGAATGTTGGCTGATACACAAAGACTCCTGGCATTAAGTAAGCCACACTTTCTTATGCTCAACGACGTGACAGAGAGAATTAGATGTCGAGGGTTATGTACTTAATGAATCCACTTAATTTTGAAAGGTGCATATCTGCGGGCTGCACAACCCTGCTGATAAGCCAAGATAATACACAGTTTCCAGGTGGGAACAGTCACAAATAGGAATTATTTCATTACCGCTTTCCATTTGTCCATCACCGGTATGAGTATACCGAGAAGAAGGAAATTAAGATACTATGATTTTATCCTAATGAATTTGAAGGTAAATGCACCTGTGCCCGTTATGGAATTCAGATTAAGAACGCAGAAAACCTAAGGGTTGGGTTTTAGGCCTATTCCGACTAAAAGGTTTTGCAAAACGCTCGCATTCGAATGTGCTGGGATATTGGTAGCATCGATGTGTTCACTGGTGGCTCACCAGGTGGCTGTTGATCTGGTTGTTGAGCTTGGCAAACAGGTTGCAAACACTTTGTTACCGATCGAGCTGGCACCATCAGTGTGCGTAGAATGTGTATTGTGGAAACGGAAAAGCCGTCCTTCCATTTTACGTGCAAAATAGGGAAAAATGCTACCTAAGCCTCACTCGAAAACCTGCCGAATATTTCCTTCGGCTTATCCAACGGACTTTAAGAGAATGAGCGATTTTATTCCCGCTGGTTTTTTTGTGCGATAATTACTTTCTGGTCTGCAATGCTTTTGGGGAGTGACCCGTATACAAGGATCTTTGGGCGAAACGCCTTCAGTGGTTGACCAGCCTCTACCTTCACGCAATCTGGGGCTAAATGCGACCACTAGCTCCCACTTACACGCGAACGTTTCTCCAAAAAATAATAGGTAAAAAATCTTTTTGTATTTACTCAGGCGCTAAAACACTTACGTCGCGATTCAAGATTGTATAATAACCAGAAATAAAACCGTCTTGAGTAAATCACACAAGCGCCTTTTTGCGTAGATGTTAAATTAATTCAAAGTTTTCAAAGGGCAACCCAAATTCCACATCAAGGTTCTATAAGGTAGACTTTTGACCGTGTTAAACAAGTATCCGGCTGCCATCTGGTTGGCAAATGTTATCGGTAATCATTGTCCGAGCTTAGAAAAAATGCATTTTGGCTTCGCCCATAAGTTCACACTGAGCAACTTCGCTTCACAAAGCATCTTACCATTATTTTTTCTGAAAAAAGCAACGGACCAAAGATGCATAGTCCCTTAATACCTGTTAATTATAAACGGTCAACCATCAAGTGTCCGTTTGAAGGGATTTATCCGGTTAAATATAAATATAACATTGTTAGCAGTGTCCAATGAACCAGTTACCGTATATACTGATCTTTCGAAAATTTGATCTCACTCCGTTCAATTTTCACGTGTGTGTGTGTGTGTGTGCATCACCGAAAATTTTGACGAGGCCCTAAGATATCTTTATATCTCAATTCAGCCTGAGGAAAACAAGACCCGGAGGAAATAAATCCTTTTTATTCCGACTCACCGATCTGGCGATAATTATTCGAGGAAAATGCTCAATCTTTCGACCAAATTGGCCATAGAATCGCATCTGAAGGAAACTGGATACGGGTTAATATAATTACTGCCTACGCGTATCGCTAAGAAAACAACTCCATTTTCTGTAATTTCATCCCCACTAGATGTTGAAAATACCTAGTTAGTTAACAAAGTTCAGTTTATGTTAATGATAGTAATGATAATAATTTTACTCTGAAGTGGCTGAGGACTGTGCATATGGCACCCTCCCGGGGTACATGGGCAGATTTGGGCTTGACATATTAATTTTTGTACAACCAAATAGGGATAGGTTTTCTAAGTTTCTAGGAAGTGAAGCCTTCAAAAAGAACACTCAAAACTCTCAGCTCCCAGCATTTATTAGCCCTTTATCCATCCATACCAGTAAGAAGTAGATTTCGCAAAACTGATATTCGTCGGCTTGCAAGCACTAGATAAGGAACCTTAGACGATTCAGTTTCTTTAATGAACGACCGCATTAACTCTAGATCGACTTTCGTTTGCTCCGTTATGTGAGAATTTCTTGCAGTTTTCCGGCCTCTGAAACACAACATTTGAGCTCTACAACCAATTGATGGCGCACAGAGGCGAGTTGTACCTTCTCATGTAAATATGAACCAAGAAGAATGATCATACTTTGTTTGACCGTCTGACCAACGTGCATTTGTGGGCTTTTTTACCGGGAAAAATGCTTCCAGCACACTTTATCCGGTCCAAACTACTCATAAATCGATGCTCCAATTTGGGTCGTTGCACGTTTTGTTGTTGTATCATTAAAAGCATTTTTTTTGTTCAACGTTATGTCGTAACAAAGCCTAAAATCTTGTGGATGACGGCATGACCTAACGAGCTGCATTGTCCAGCGATACAATGACCTTCCAATTGGTGAGACAATGTGAGGTGAAAATTTGGAAACCTAGCAGGTCTTCGTCGCTGATATGAGCAAAGGTTCTCGAATATTTAAAATTTACACCTCCTTTGTCTGTCGTCACCTAGCTGCATTTCTTCTCTAGATGCAGTGGTGTGACAGTTGCAAACTTTAACGAGGCTAGCAACGCTGGTAAAGATGCCTCACTTCTATATTTTTGTTTTAGTTCCAAAATTTACGACTTTAGGATGAATGAAGGAGAAGTAAATTTTAAGTAGATCTATTTGATGATGGATATTTGAGCTCCTCAGTCTAGTCAAGGTATGAAACTATAACGTATCTCTCAACTCCTTTATGCATTCGCCGGCATGCTACGATGATGGATATTTACTCTGCGGAATGGGGGCACAAATGAACAGTTTTGCACTGCAGCCGTTATTCCCGGCTTTCTACAGGTTTCTGAGATGTTGTGATTCACCAAATTTCATCGGGTTTGCACCATTTTTATGACCGTTGGGGATCGGAGGTGACCTTTTCGTGATTTAAGGGCGAAATTTTCAGCCTCACTAATCTGAATTCACTTAGCACTTTCATATGTGGAGTTTAAAGCGAAAATTTGACCCAAATATAGAATAGTGAACCAATCTGTATTGAATTACGCTGTCCCTATCTGAGCATTGCATAAAATCAGAATTTTCGGGAACCTGAAATTACACCCTTATTATTCGGCTGTATCACAGTGCACAGGCTTAAATGTTACTTAATAAAATACGTAGATTTTTCTGCTCAGCTTTTTGTTTTATCATTTAGGGGCAAACGGTCTGGAAGAAGTGGTCCTTCAAAACTTCACGAAACAGGGCTTTGGCAGGATGTTTATGTGAGTCTATCGCATACACGAACTTCCTTACGTTACTCTGCCTTAAGTACTGCGACTGTAGACAGTGGACCTTGACAACCTCCTCTTCAGCTAGTGTTCATCTGGTCTATGTAGCTGAGATGCGTTAGATTATGCTCAGAACGACTGAAGAACTATAGTTGAAAAAACTATTGATTCGATAATCTTACAGGAATTCAAACGCCAAGGTGATCGACGTAATCGAACGGAATCTAACCTGAAAAGGAAACATTGCAAAATCTTCAGTGTTTCCCACGGCCCAAAAGCACCCTATTCGAATTCCTCTCTGTAGCAGTCTTTTGCAGCGAGTTAATCACTACATGTTAACAAACGTTCTTCATAACAGTGAATACAAAGACTACTCAAAAGATGCCATTGTGTTACTAGCACTCAGTGAAATCTGTTGATGGAATCGTTTTCGGAATTTTGAGAGAAGAATAAGCATTGGTGCTAGTTAACTCTGAAATAAGTTGCATAGCCGAAAATATTTATGTTTTGACGGATGACACAGTATGATTCTCTTGAAGGATAAAAATCTTTAATGAATTAAATGTCACAATGCTACGACATGCAAGACATGTTCTCTCCAAGGATCTGTAGTAGTCAAAATGGTTCGATGTACCTTGAGAACGGTAAACAATCGTTTGGAGGATACCTATTTTCTACCCTTAGGTGGAGATGTCACACCGTGCGGTCTGAAACGTTTGAAGTCATGGTGAGTGACTTATATGTCGGACTGGCTTAAATACATGGCCTTATGTGGTGGACAGAACTTGATATAACCTACCCTTGTGTCCGGCAGGTTTTCATAAAAACGACGATGTATATTGCTGACAATATATACTATATATATATGTACAATATATACAATCACTGTAAGACACGCCAACGACACTAGCCATTTAAAAAGGTGAGTACATTGGAGGCACTGCTGGCACTCCTGGAAATGACTATCAAACAGAGTCCTCATCAAAAGGAGGAGGAATTCAAGTGTCATTTATATCAAGTCGTGTGGCTGCCTACTGAAGTGGAAAACAAAGGTGCGCCCAGTTTACGTTTACAACATTTGTGGTTGTTTTCGTTGCTCTCGAAAAGGAGTTTCAGAGGCTCGATCAGCTGTTAGGTGGTCTTGCAGTAAAAACCACCGAAGCGCTTAGTCTGCATGGGCTGTTCGGTGGAATCCGTTGTGTCTCTAGAAAGACCTAAAATGCACTGTAAAGTGAATAATGCTATTCGGTGATGTTCACATGCAACAATGAAACTGACGCGTTGAGGAGCATCAGCAAAGGTACGTGTCTTGCAAATTAAGGACAATTTTTGGCTACCCCAATGGAAGAAGCTGGTTACTGTGCCGCAAATCCTATGGATTTTTTGAACTCTCACCTGAGAATTGTCAAGTTTTATCTGACGCACGAATGACAATTTGTTTGGAACAACTTGTGCCTTCCAAGCGATGTCCGTGCCAACTGCTATAGCATCCTCATGCTTAGCCATTTAGTTGTACCGATACATTGTTTCGGTCGCAACATTCGGAATAATGTACAGCCTTTGTAACCAGGTGAGCTGATGGTTCCGCAACACTCAGTTATATATCACTGTTTACTTCTTTAATTAGCTGCCGTAAACACCAGTAGAAAGGTAAGGAGGTATGTACGTCACTTTCGGCGTTAAAACGGGTCTTAAATCACAAAATATACACTCGATGAGCTGATTTCGGGGTTTTTCTACATGGTGATGAGTTGACCGTAGAGATTGGTGATATGTCATCAGGAATGTTTCCAGTGTTTGATTTTAAATCTGTCTGTTCAAAATGAGAGGTCCTGACCTCGTGAATGTTTGAACCGTCAGTAATGAGCACTTTCGGGAATAAAAATGGGACAGTCCCGAATTTTCTCTGGACGTGATTGCAGCTCCGGATGAGGTAGCACTCCACTGTGTTTAAAATTCTGTAAAAACGTTCAAAACTTTGCAATCAGTGCAAATTTTCACTAACCAAAAATTAATCAAAGACCATACCACATCTGAGGCTAGGCAAATCTGAGGACGCCCGTCAACAGACAGGCTTTACATACTGCAGCAAACTGACACTTACAAGTAAAAGCACGTATGCACTCGTACATCTGCCATCTTCTGTCTTTGTGCCGATTATCTGCAAGCCGAAACAGTCTCTGGCACACTATACTGCCCTACAAAGGTGTTCACAAACTACGTAATTGCAGTAAATGTCGCAGTACAAAGCACAAAAACTGTCGTTCGTCAACAAGTGTGTAAAGCAGATGGTGTTTTGAGGTTCCATTCCTCTTGAAAATGGAAATATATATGGAGTGCCGCAGTTTTTAATAAAAAACCGTATAAATGACAGCGATTGCTGAAGTGTGCATGGGCACCATTCTAACATTCTGCCATTCACATAACTTGTGGGCCTGAAAGAACACCGAGAACCAGCAATCGAATATGAGAATTTGACTTAAGAATCATCAGTACTTTTATCCCACTGAATCAGCCAGTCGCAAGATGCAGGGGATGATACTTCAGTTGAGTGGCCCAGTCTCTTCCGAACCAGCGTAGGGTTCGAGTTTGGCTTGCAGATATATGGACTTTCTAAGTCTTATCCGAAAATACCAAAACTAAGAACCACTGTCGTTCGCCCCTCAAAAGATCTACGGGTGCTTGCGCAAACTTACTAGTCGGAGTTACGCAGATCATGCGCATGCCGGATGTTGAAAATGACCATAAAAAGGCGTCTGTTGCAGCAACCTACATGCATGAACAGCAGGTGGTCGAAATCTTTGATCCAAAACACAGGTGCATTGGGTCAATCTGAGGAAAACAACCCACATATCGACGACCGCGCTTGATGGCGTTTCAATATGGCAGAGTGCACACCACGAATGCGCAAACTACCGGTTGAAAGCTTCATCCGCGGATTTCTGCCCATACTTGGACGCTGATAAATGGTCAGTTACCGCAACGTGCGCATGCTCTCTGCGAAAAGTCCCGCTAGTGAAATAAAAATTACCGGGAAACACTGTGATATTGTGTTCATCTGCCGATTAGTCCCGTCAAACTGCTACTTATTGAGTGATGACGACAACTTCATCGATTTCGAAGTACTTTATGCAGGCATTACTGACACCAATGATATCAAGTTTGGAGTGACAAACTACAGACACACCACCATGACAAAAATGGACACCTGGCCCGAAGAATTTGCAGGTAAACCAAGCATCATTCGGCGGATGTTGAAGCGCGCTAGGAATGAAGAACGAATCATTTTAGCTTAAACGTGAATTTTTTAGCATCCGACATTGCCATGAAGTCATTCAAGTTTGGTAAAGATCGCAAGTATCTCACTCTAGCCATAACTAGCTAAGCAGCCGCGGGCGGGTTGTCGGAACAAGGCACATGTGGTTGTGTTGACTATGATGTCTCGCAACAGTCCACCTGTTTATCTCAGAAGGATAACTTGTATTACCCATGCGCGTTCATTTACGTCAACGGTCGCTTACGCCATGACATCCACCAACATTAGACCACGGTCATTTAGTCAACTGTCACCAATAAAACGTCTGTTAAATCCAGTGCCAAATTCTCATGCTTGGGTTGCTGGTTCCAGTCCACAGGTGTTAACCGGAACGCAGACGGCTTTATAATGGTTCATGCCCCAATATTGCACTTCAGAGGCAGACCTATTATTGCGAATACCTAAAGACTGAATTCGATCCGTGAACAATACAAAAGTGCTCCTTTTGGAGTGTGGAATTTTTGGTGGCACCACCGAGAAGGAACATAACCGAAGGTCACAAAAAGAACTCAGTTGCGGATAAGTCTTCCACTCACACATGTGTAAAATAATGATCATGCTTAACGGTATGCCAGCCACTAGTTTGGACGGAACTTCATTACCATTATTATTAGTATGATTACGATTATTATTATGAAGGACAACAGAGCATCAGTGCATCTGCAAGCTTAGCAAACTTACCTTTTATTTATGACATAATACGCGAAATTCGAAGGCGTATACAACTTCTACGTCTAATTCACCTAAAACTTTTGGTTTTTTGGCGTCTGAATACGAAATATGATGAGCAGATATGAGTAGGCCCTAGATTAGACTTGCAGGACTGCAGCTGACCAGGGAGCAAACAGAACGGACGGTGCAGTAACGAAACCAGCCAAACGTTCTCCGCGTTATCTGAGGACCGCACACTTGTCACTACTGCGAAGAAACTCTCATGGAGTCCACGTTTTACGAGCAAGCGCAGAGTGCACACTTGTACAAGTAGCTCACAGGGTCTCCACCTGGCGCCTTGGCCAAAGCTCGTGCCGGCTCTATTGAAGCCGGTGGCCGACAGAGCCTGCCACCGCCAGGCGCCAGTGTCTGATTATTCAGTGATCCAGAAAGCCACAAAGAGTTCATACGAAATCACTGCAATGTACTAAAGCAAGACCTGCAAAGGTTGTATTCGCCTGTCTAACTTGCCAAAGGTTTGCCACAAGAATCCACTGATGCAGAAAGCGCTTGGATTGCCACGGATATTTTAATAAACATCATGGATTGTGCTTCACTGTGACAATGCAATAGACCTCCATAAAGGGCAACGATGGGGACGCAAAGTGACTCTTTGGAATGTCTTGGGTTTGAGTCCAATTTTGGAGTCCCAAATGGTCTCCCCTATATCTGACCAACCGGGCTGTCTCTCGTCCAGCCCGCCTTTCTCGAGTGCCAGGACGACTAGCTACGAAGGGGTCCTGGAGCAGTGGTTTGTTTTCTGATGGTACATCAAACCCGTCAGTCAACCCAAAACATACGCTCTCGTACGCGTGAAATACTCAGACACCAAGCATATTGCCGAATTCTGCACAATATGGACGCACGCATGGTCTCTCGGTGTCGATTGTGATACAAGGCGTCTGGTTATGCTAGACCCTTATTGAGTGACCTTGGGCAGTTGGGCGAATGGTCGGGGTCACAAACAACAAAAATATGGTGTTCAGTATCCAGCCTCAGACTATTTGCACACCCTAATTGATTTCGCCGAAACAATAGGGTATTCGAGGTTGTGAATTAATTGGGTAGTTAGTCTAGGCAATTTGCACCTTCCAGTGACATGTTGCAGGCAGCACTTGGTTTAAGTGAGCGAAATTTCAGGGTCATAGACTTTGGCGACATCGAACATGTAATCTCACTTTAGCATATTTGCCATACTTCGTTGTTCCTGAAGGGTTAAAAACTTCTAAAGAGTATTTAATGCAAATCCCCCCCTAGAAGATTAGTCGTAGATGTTTGTTTGCTTCACACACCTCAGATTCAACAAATGGGATTACATTGTTCGGCGAACCTGTTTACAACACATTTTCCTCACGGATCTCATATTCCATTAAGTGCAATGAAGTTAGACAACAGCATGAACTGTGCAGTGGCAGTCCCAGGGTCATCCGTGGATGATCCTCCTTCGCAGATGTGCATAACTAGCTTGTAGATAGTACAGCGTCACGACATAGCTGCGGGCGTCATTCTCACCATGACGTTATGTAGGTGGTGACCACTATAAAGTTGTCGCTATGATGAAGGTAGCCATTGTCACTCACATGGACTACTTGTGGTAACCGCTGGGTCCGTGTCAATGTGAGACGCTGATTATGGGGCCCACCTATGCGCGTCAGCTCAATCCAATGAGCAACGATGGCCCCTTGTACTCGTATCTCCACTCGTTTTCACTCATCTCGAATACTTGTTGTAACTGGTAGACATACAAGAATCGCAGTTAAGCGGCAATGTTCTCATCTGGTGATGTTACTAATAATGCCTCCGCTTGTTAGCGAAACAGCTTTCTCCTAGAGCCGGTGCTCTATTCGTTCTCCAAGTTCGATTTAGGGAAAAATATTTCCTTTAGTAAACGACAGGCTGGCAGATCCTGTAGTTATACGAACATATAGGAACCGTCGTCTGTACTTAGTTTCATGACCGATGGCACTGTGTTTCGGACAATACAGAAAACCAGAAAACCGCCGATGGACGAAACTATCAGGGATTGTGACAGTGTGGTCGTCCTGCGTAAATTAGAATGGCTTGACCACTGAAGTGAGCACTTTAAACAACAATTAGCGCGGCCAACACACGTCTTTCATTTTAATCCTGAAAATGACTTAGGACTGTGAACGGTGAACCGTGGAACCTTCACGGATTCAGCAATTTGACTGCATATTTTATTTTAAGCGCCATCTTTATCTGCCCCACTCCGGGAAAAAACTGTTCCAGGCAAGTGGGATTAGATTTACGCGTCCATTTTCAAAAACGGAGCACCAAAGTGTTGTTCATAGCAGACAAATCAGATTGATTCTAGTCATACCGAGACCTTAGGTGTGGTATCTTCGTCGCCTTATTGGGGACCGTGAAACGATGTCTGGAGGTACCAAACAAGATCCCCTCCTGTTTGGTTTGACACCTAATAAATCTTCACTCTCTTGAGGATTTACGGATCGTGTTTCACCTTCTTGGCCGTCTGTTCTACACAATGCGGGTCCTCGGCTATTGATTATCCGAAAATTTGTCAATGAAATACGTCCTTTGCGGTATCAGGCAGTTGAGCGCAGGAAACTTAACAAACAAATCACCAAAACCTTTCGTATATCAAGTGGCGACTGGTAAAGCTGTTTTACCCTTCTCTCATGTCCAGTTTTGCTACGAAAGAAATAATAAAACAAATGATGAAACCTCCTTAAAGCCGTGGTGTTCAAATGGCCGCTGAGAAATTCTTACGGACCTGGTAAATGCAGATGGCATTGTTCTTATATTTGGAGAACAGAAGGTGCATGTTCTTTGGAATGAGCCGGCCATAGTCATCCCATCCTTCTGACCCACAAGATTTAAGGCCACTCATCATCATCAAAGTCGTGGCATCATTGGAAACGTGTCTACTGAGAACCCTGGCAACCATATAAGTTTATGTGGGTAAGGCCTTTCATCGGAAGAGAAACACGGCTCAGAAGGAGCATCTAGGACCAAGAGTGCGAGATGTGCACACTGAAATTGGCTTAGAAAACAGGGAAGAATATGTGCCAATGAGATCGGTCGATCGCCAAGACGTCCACCATCTCCATCCGGGCACAGGGAAAGTCTTGCGGACTTCATCCAGGCAGGTGAACAGCACCAATGACACCCAATCTGTTCGTAAAATCGCTTACTCTCTGTTCTGTTAATTTCCAGGTTCCTAACACTCGGCACTGGGGACGCAAAACACGCCCTTTACGACATGCGGATGTTAGTGAGTCTGTTCCATCTGACCCTCTCCAAGCAGGTCATCAGCGAAAGCGCTGATGTCGCGAGACGTTGAGGGTGGAAGTTTGTCGAGCCATAGTCGAGCCAGGATTTCCACTGTTAGCTTACGGCCGAAGAGGAGACTGCGCATGTGGCGAAGCACTTGTGATGGCGATCTGTCACCAAGCTCGGCAGTGGTGAAGAAATCCCGTAGCATTTTGTTTTCTGACTTCCTTGCCCTACTGATGACGGCCGCTCGAAGTGTGTCAAAGGGATCTTCCTTGGGAATATCCTCCAACAGATCTTCTACTTCTGTTGCTACATTACAGGGAAGATGCTGGACAAAATAAGAGAATCGAGTGGCTTGGGAAGTGATGCGTCGGGTAGTAAAAACGGCCTCCACCTGGTGAAACCATGCCCTGGGGTTGCGTTGTAATCTGGTAAACGTACACTAATCGCATTCTCGGCTAAATCCGCTAACTCAAGGTGTACCTCCATAATTACCGGACAAAAGAAACAAAATTACGTCGATTGAAATGAAAGGCTTTTAAGAAAATATATAGAAAGACTCGGACTCACCAAATTTTCGGTCCTCAAGCACGCAAATGCCAACCACCATAATTGGATTATTGTTTATTAGCTGACCTGGGCCAACGACCACCTATTTTAAGGAGAACACGAAACACGGCCTAGTCATTTTGAATTTCAGTGCTTGTCGTATAATGCGGCTACATTATCCCACACATCACCGAGGACCCACTCGCATGGACTTCCAAATACTCTATGGGGCCTACGTCAGACCGCTCCTGGAGTACGCTAACCAAGTTGTCTACTCAGGACGTACGAAAGACGTTACCCTCATTGAGCGTGTCCAGCGGGCCGCTACTAGAATTGTTGCCGGCCTCAAATCCATGGACTACGAAACGCGTCTCGCGATGCTTGATCGCTTTCCCCTGGATTATCGTCGCCTCCGAGGGGACCTAATTCTTACTTACGCCCTGTTTGAACAAAGCTTGGCAAACAGGTTTTTTACCGTTGACCCAGCAAACACCCGGCGAGGACATAGTAAGAAAATTTTCAAGCTCAGGGCACACATTCATTAGACAAAACTTTATTTCGGGTAGTAGCTGCGTGGAATGACCTTCCTCCGACGGTTGTACACGCTCCTTCTCGAACCCAATTTAAAGCACTATTAGACATTTATTTATGCGAATCCTCGCGCTGGCGAGCATACTGCCCCGCGCTGAGAACATAAAGAGCAGTGCTACACCCTTTTTTCACTTGTGCCTTTCAGGTGAACGACAGCCACTGACCGACAGGAACAAAACCGACCCGGGAAACTTGGGCAAAAGCCTCGATCCTGTGTATCAATCCGTGAATCCGTGAATCCTGATCACCTCAGTTCAGTTTTTTCCAGCTCGCTAGCCAAGCACCAAATTGTAGAATTCCCAGCTGCTACCGCTTCATTCACCCAGGATAAGGAGTATGAGGGAATTACAGCCACGCGTTGGAAATGATGGAGAAATTTGTCCATTGATGACGAATGTATCTGTGTATCCAGTACAGGAGGAAGTGACAGCGAGGCAATAAATACGTCAGCTTTGTTATAAGGGTGTGATTGGCTGCCATTGGGTGTGAGGATCACTGCCACTAATTTGTCCCGTCGCACATTCCCCATCCGATAAGGTTGGTCACAGGACGAATCTAGCTACAATATTGAGGCACTGGCGTTCAAATAGCTGAAAATACCTGACCAGAATTGCCAAGGCCTCGCGGTTGCACATTGAAAAAGCCTGCGCTGTAGTCGGACATACACACCCTTTAAGACCTAGCACTACAAGTGGTTAGTCAAAAGCAATTAGAGCCTTTGAGATCCAGGTATTGGTCTCGTCTGCCACGTTGCCATCAGATAAACTAGGACTTCCGAACTTTTCAAGTAGTACTCAAGTTTCCTACTCTTAAGAATGATAGAAATATCGTCTGAACATTTCAGACCGATAGGGTTCCTGCTCGGGTAGATCTGGACACGGGTTTGGGAGGACTTCCACAGTTCGCCTCACTACATCATCAATAACGAAATCAAACCAGCTGAAAGAGTTGGCACCCTTGTTTGACCACATTGATTGCAGGAAGGCTGTTGAAGAGCTCTTCATACGCTATTCATAGATGGATACACAGGATCGAGGGTTTTTCCCAAGCTTCCCGGGTGTGGTTCGTTCTTGCTGTTCAGCGGCTTCCGTTCACCTGAAAGGTACAAGCGAAAAAAAGTGTAGCATTGGTCCTAAGGTTCTCAGCACGGAGTGGTAAGGTTGCCAGCGTGAAGAGTCATAAATAATCGTCCAAAAGCGCTCTGAACGGGGTACTAGCCACAGCGTGAACAACCGTAGGAGGAATTTAATTCTGCGCAATGACTATCCTAAATGAGGAAAAATGTCTCCCAATAAAAATGTGCGTTCTGAACTTTATAATATTCACACCATGTCAACGGTGGAAGACCTTGTTCAAACGACGTAATTTAGTATTAGGTCTCTTCGGAGGCTACGATACTCCAGACAGAATGAGGCAAGCACCATAAGGCGCGTTTTGTAATCAACGGGTTCCAGACCAGCAACCATTTTGTAGCAGGTAGTTGGATACCCTCGATGAGGATTATATATTTCTTGCCTCCTGATTTTGTTTGTCGTATCAGCATACGCCCAGACATATTAATTCTGAGACTGAGAAAGGCGGATTTTATCAAGATCTATCAGCACTGCTTCGGTCGGCAGGGACGACGGATATAATTATTCTGGCAGGATTACTAGCTATCGCCTTCAATGCGTAGCTATACAATTTCCGAACAAACTGAGCATGTCTTCGCCTCCAAGGCTTGGTTTCGTATCCCACTTTCTCGTTTGCCGGTGATCGAAACTGTAGCAGCTGGAACTAATGTGCCTATGGCCCACGGTTTATAGCTGATAAATTGAGTAGTAACTGAGTTGCGTCCTATGTAGAAAACTTGCTTGGCCTATTCAAGAAACGGTCAGGCATGGACCCCATAAAGTATCTGGAAGTCTATAGGAGTAATACGGGTAAAGGAGCGCCGAATCATCCGTGGAACAACGAATGGTCCGGTATGAAAGACATCCTTGGTATCTACTCTCGTAACGTCTTCTGGTCCCTTCTTACCATGCACAACAAAGGTGTTCGATGAGTCTCCTCCGAATGACATATGGATACACTTTTCGTCATTCAGGGAGGGCAACAGTCCAGCGACCAATGTTTTGCAGCGTCCACATCCATTTGGAGTGTGTGACGTTGGAACTTCTGGATTTCAAGCCGTCCGGGGAAAGTAGACATGGTCTTGAAAGGGCGTTTGGAAGGTCGTTCACGTAGATGAAAAACAAAAGTGGTCCTGGAGCGGATCCTTGAGGAACTTCAATGGCGACCGGTGCCAAAGAAGAGTAGGTTGAATCTACCTTCACCCAGAATGTTCTGTCTGATAGGAATGCCTTAATCCAACGTGGGACATACCTATGAATTCCATAAGACCCGAGCTTGTGAAGCAGCGGGACGTGAGGGACGACGACGTTGTCTTCAGAATCCTCGAATGGACCTCGTCCGGCCCCAACATACTGAAGGGGTTCGTCTTGTGCAAGAGTTGACAAGCGTCTTTCTTCTTGAGAACCTAGCGTCCGGCCCAACATACTGAAGGGGTTCGTCTTGTGCAAGAGTTGACAAGCGTCTTTCTTCTTGAGAACCTAGTCGGTTAAAGGCCGTCTTTAGTTACATCTTGACAAGACTGGAATATGACAAGTTGCTGCGGCAGGTTGCAGGCCCGCATAGTGTTCTCTGTAGGCTTCAGATTGCACTTTGGGTCACTCGTTAGTTCCCCGTTTCTGTCCATCAAGGAGAACGCAGTTTGTTTTTTCTTCAGTGGGGTCTCACATACTTAAAAAGTACATCTTTGATTTTCCGGCCGATGTTTAGTATCGTGGCCTAATTTCGCATGTTCCGGGTTTCTGATGTACAGAGGTTCCGCACTTTACGAAATACCAGCTCATCTGGGTCTCCTGTAGTTATCTTTTTGAAGAATAGCTAGGACCTCGTTTTCAGAAGACACCAAATCCTTTTAGGTAGCTGTTGGTTACAGCCCAGTCGCGCCCTCAGTGGCGCTCGTGCATCCAAGCTATTGCCTTCAATGCATAGCTCCTTTTCCACCCCCCACCGCTTGACAACTCACTGAAAGTGCTGGATTTATGCACCAATTTACCAGCTCGCGCGTGCAATGCGCAGCTACTTACCCCCCAATCATCGGTGAACGAAACTGTGGCAGCTACAACCAGTGTA